AAGCTAAAGATAAGATCTAAATTCTGCAAATGGCGGTGAGAAAGTGGACCCCAACATGGCCGCAGGATCGTCACCAAAGACGATGACAGAAAGGAAGAACGAGCTGCATTCGCTGCCACTATCATTAAAAAGCGACAGCTTTCAGAACGCCTCCACGACGTCAGTAACGCTTCAATGCACCCAAAGTATACGGCTACACTTAAGGGTATTTTTAAGAATTAGTTTGGACTTTTAGAATCCCTCTAATCCCTTCACATGGGGTTGGCACGGATTACCATGGTTACACGTCTCCAGCCGGCGAGGGGGCTGTCACCAAGTATGGTCGTAATTACAGTTCAGCTCAGTGCGTCACACTAAAGATGCATACTGCTATTTATTCAAACAACAGGATGATGAGCGATAGTCTGTAGGGCGTAATGTACGATGTCACATGCAGTAAGAGTTTAGTTTTCAGATGATCATTAATTATCCTTATTTTGAGAAGAACTTATTGTGTGGTTTTGTTTCTATTTAAAGAAGAACACGACTGTATCCACGCATGGCTAAGTGGACTGTTTTTGATGTTACTTGTTGTTTCAGGAGTAGCATTTTCCCGGTTCCGTGTCCTCTTTTCATTTTGTCTTTATGCTTTTGAATCCAGGACTTGGACTCGGTATTGTCAGCTATCCAAGATTAAAGGGCTGGTATTGGGATCTGGGCTCTGGGAAATCTTAATATATATATCACTAAAAGGTGTAAATGCTTCCGTCCTGCCCGGCGACAACATGCCTAACAGGAGGTGTGCGTCCAGCTGGGTCTGCACACTCGGGCCTAGTGGGTGAAAACACTGTAGGCTGCTGTACAAGTTCGAATCCAGATGACCGCTGAGACAAAGCTGCTGTATCATGTTAAAAAGGTAGTATTTATTTTCTTAATTCTACTGCAACAAAATTTATACGAATACAGAAGAAAAGGGATCTTTGCATGTGAAGAATCCGCCGTCATCTCCAATGCTGAATGGCTTCATTTTGCATGAGCAAAGCCTTTGTGTAAATTGTTGCTCTTTAATCATTTTACCATGAAAATTGACACTATGCAAAAGCTGCTTTTATTATTTTTTTTATTATTTTTTAAGAGGATTATGTGTTCCTCTAATTTCAGATGTGTTCCTGTGTTAAAGTATTGTACTCTAAAGCTCTTATGAACCAAATAAACAACATGAATAGCTAGTAGATCGTCAAATTAGTCATAGTTCTGCAAGAGTGTGGAAACCCTTTTAGTCTCATTGTGTACCCTCAGTTACATAAGGGTTTTCTTCAGGCTCTGTACCGACCTGAAAGCAAAAGCAGTGTGACGCTGAAAGGAGCAGAACGGAAAGGTAAAGAATTCCCTTTGTTCGGGGAAATCAATGCTTCTCTGTGGCTCCATGATGCACACAGCTTCTGACTCAGGGATGGATTTTCTATGTGCGAGTGTGTGCAGTGAAACAGATATTTCATGCATCCGGGTCATGGCTGTGCGCGTGTTTACCATAACATTCTTTTGGAATCCCCTGGTTTACCTGCGGCCAGAAGATAAAAGCCCTTCAGGTCGATGTCCCTCAGGCGTTCTCTTATCTGGCCGCCGAGCGGACTCCTCCTCCTCCTCAAAAGATTCGTAAGCAGGCCAAGGACGCCACAGCCCTTGGATTTTTAATTTTTAATCTAGCACACACATTTGGCAGATAGAACGTGTCTTTCCGGTGTGAGGAGAGCCCCTGCAGTGGAATTGTCATCAGAGGCTCTCTGCACGGATTTTACCACATTATCCCTTTTTACTAAGCGAATGGCTTTGTCAGTAAAGGTCAAGGCCTCAGAGCTGACCTGTGCTAACATACTTGAGCTAACTTGCTTTCTATGGCTGCACAATATTGACGCTTGTAGAGATTTTCGTGAAATTTGTCCTCACACGGAATTAATTGTGTCTTTCACCAATTGGTACTGTACTATTTTAGAGAGGTTGGCTACAGACCTCTCAGCAGCACATAATTACATTACATTACATGTCATATAGCAGACGCTTTTATCCAAAGCAATTAACAATAACGATACAAACTCAAAAGAACAAGAAACAAAGTGCAATTTCATCAAATGAGCCAATTTACTATACCTATCTATAGCCAACTTGCTATAGATAGGAACCATTATAAGTACACTACTATTTAGTGTTTTTAGTAAAGGTGTAGTCTGAAGAGGTGTGTCTTTAGTTTGTGGCGGAAGACTGATGTCATCGGAGAGCTCGTTCCACCATTTAGGAGAGTAGTGATCTTAATAATAAACACTGCTCTATTAGTCCCCGTCTTAGCAATAACTCAGAGCCTTAATGGCTGTTGGATAGTTCCTGTTTATTCTCTAAATTGTCAATTTGTTATAAAATGTAGGGCTGCAGTGAACCAAAGAAAATCTGTTAATAGTAATCAATCGTTTGTTCAATGGTTGAAGAAAAATAAAATCTTCCCTGAGGCCTAAGTGAATTGTGAATTAACATAAATTGCCCCAATTTGTTTTTGTTTTCACGTGATCCAAATGTGGAATACTGCTCTTTTCTTTAATCATTTGTCAACGGGTCTTTAGGCAAATTGTCCGTTCGCAGCTCTAAAGGTTATGCGCTGCTGACACGTCTTTAACACAAATAGACCTTGGTTTTCTATTCATGTGGCTATTTTTGATTGAGTTTACTGGAGGTTACATACTAACTGGTTTCTTTTCAAATGGCAGCACTGCTCTTCAGTATTTTTCACTTACATCCAGCGCAGACACACAGTACCTGTCTTTGGCTTTACTTCTATTCACGTTACACCGTGTGGCATGTTTACGCGTGTGTGCGACCGTGATGTCTGTCCTATACCAACCGTACTGGCATGTGAACCAGCACGAGGAAGGTCTAACTACACATATATACAAATCGGTACGTTGACAGATCTACCATAAGGTTTTGCCCCCTTTGGGCATATAGACCTGCTATCACTTCCACTGCTGCTCTTCAATGAATCCCAATCTAATCCAACCTGACGGCTCGTAACGGCCTCTGATTTTTAATCTCTTCTCATCATGGGCCCACTTGGCTCTTGGGCCCTCACATTACTGAACTAGCATATAAATGAAAGACTATAATTGATCAATTAACATGGACAGAGACAAGTTAGTATCAATTTTGAGGCAGAACGTGCGGCACCGGTTGTGAAAGCCGTCTCGTTCCTTGGTGCCAGTGTGTGAAGGAACGTTGTTTGTTGATGACAGCGACGACCGTGTGAGGAGGACAAGCATCTTTGAGGTCTTGGCTTTCTGTTGTCTTTAGCTGTTTCTCGCGGTCCCCCTGGAGTTGCTTATACAGCGCTATTAGAGCCTTTTCCGAAGCTCCAGCTGTTTGATTTCCAGTTTAACAACTTAGCTGTTTTGCTGCCTGGTCTCCTCCGTCACCTTCTGCACCTGCGATGGATCCCAGCAGCCCCGGGACCCTCCCAGCGATGCCTTTGTTCCCACCAGACATGGTAATGAAGGTGGCGACGTTGAGCCAGTTGAAATGGAGCATCTCCCAAAGGGGACGTCTTAAGTTTTAATTAGCAACGTTAATGAGGCAGAGTGGGATTAACAGAGTCGATGACACAGATGCAAAAGAAAAGTATCCCATGTGATGTTGATAGTGAGAGATCGCTGTGTATCATTATTCAGGTTTTTCATTGATTTTGTATTTGGTGTTCTCCTGCGACCGTTTAGCAAGTGGCTTCTCATTGAACCCGTCCTCGACGCCGTCATGGACTAGAATAACGGACGTGTCTCCTGCAGGCGTCTCGGTATTTCAACAAAAAGCGTTGGCACACTATTTCCCTGAACATTGTATGATAATAACTATGCAAAGCTGTGATTTGGTGTCCGTGTCTCCGCTATGGTTACTGGCAGCGGCCCTTTTTACACCATACAGGCTGGTGGGCGCTGGACTTAAGGAGACCCCTGAATGTGATTGGTGTAACCACAGAGAGATTTAGTGGAAGAGAGAGTTTGTGTCACAGGGGGACGGCAGTCAAAGTCTAGTTTCTTTTGTAGTGGAGACAAAGCCAGAAAACAAAAAGGAGGCTCTCATGGGATGCCGGCTTTTATACTGCCGCAGCTCTCTCCGGCGCTCACTGCCTTTTCATCGCTATTAAATCCACCTTAATATCTGATGATCACTAATTTCAGCCAAGACACTGCCAGTGCTATCGATTAGGTGGCCTATTTAATCGTGATCACATCCCATCGTGACCTACGATGGCAACTTATTACTGTGTTTCCGAGCGGACACAGCGTCTCTTACATAAGAGCTGTTTTTCGGCCGATGGCCATGTACCCTGCTTTTAATGATTTATAACCCTCCAGTGAGCGTGCGCCCCACTCCACCTGTAAGTGGCTGAGTAAAGGCAGCCTCTGGTTCCTCTATATCTCTAATCTCTTAATGGCAGTTCTGTCCTTGTTTCCTTCCTTCCTGCATACGTAGTGGGGCCACACAACTTTAAAAGGAAAGTTTGCCACAACTCCAATAAGAGGAAACAATGAGGAAACCGGCAGCAAGAAGCTACTTTTTAACTGAATAGAATGGAGGGAAAGGTACAATTTGAGACAATTGAGGACGGTGAGGGGAAGAAGAGCTGGTTAGGGGGGTGACATAGTAGCTGTGGGGCATCGGCTGATAGATCGGTGAAGGCTACCGGCTCCTTCCTGCCAAACGACCAGAGGACAAAATATATTTAACATCACACTGAGATGGTGTGTGTGTGTGGATTTGTCTTTATTTTCTCAAAGTTGAAGGAGAGGGCTTTTTTTTCTGAAAGCACTGCCCTCTGCAAAGTCACAAAATTGTTCTTGCAAAGCTCCAGAATGAAAACGACTGCCCACACACATTCGAATGTGCTCACAAAATAGCCGCACAACCTAACGCAATGTTCCAATACACTGCTCCAATGTGACTGTATAATATATGCGTGTCCTCCAACCTTTCTCCCCCAGGACGCCGAGTGTAAGTCTGCAGGGGTTCACCATGGTGCAAGAGAAGACTGATGGGAAAGACGTGATGCTTGCACCAATCCAACAAAACAGACCCGCGGTAAGAACACCACCTGCATGACGCTCTCCCACGTCAACCAGCAGACACGCCACATGTGCCTCCCTTTGTTTGATGTTTCTCCAAATCACAGGTTGCAATATATAAATAAAGCATGCTCCTCCAACAGAGAGCGACGTTTTTTAACATGAGTTTCTAATAAAATCAATTTCTAGTTCCAGGTCTTCTTGTCTACAGAAGAGGGTAATAATCAGCACATAATGTAGGAAAAGCACGAGAGATCGTCCATAAAATACAGTTGCTTTCAATAGGGACTCAACCCGTGTTAGGTATAAATTAAAGGGTTCATTTTCTCTCAGAAGACAAAAAATGCAATGTGTGCTGTATTTATGACGATATCACTCTCTCCTTCAAGTGAAATTTACCCCTAAATCACATATTGATCTCAAGGAGCTCAAATCTCTGGCATAGAAAGGCCTTTTTTATTTTTTTGTACCGTCTCACTAGTATAGTTATTTTTTTATAGTTATATAGTTATTTGAAATATTGACGGTTCTGTCTAAGCTTTTTCAAAACCGTAATGTTTTTTCGTAGATAATCGACTTTTTCTTGCTATGGTAGTAATTCATTCAGCTGCCCCGTTTTCTGGAATCCATCATCGTCATTCAACCTCGAGAAAGTGTTATTGATTTTTAGGAGATTCATTAGCTCATTTAGTCTTAACAGGGTAATCAGTCTGAATCCTAACTAAAACCTCATTTCAGGCACGATAATGGCCCACACGCACACGTGATCATTGATGGGAAATGTTGCATAACGCAGATATTTGTAAAACCGGCCAGCTGCAGGAGAGCTGAGGTCTGATTAGTATACAGTACACAGTCTGGCCTCCGCGTCAGCACATGAGCTGCTTATACCTGATGTGCTCTGATTGCTTGAGACTGCTTCTAATATTGGTGCCCTATTAATATTTACACCACTGAGTAGCACGCTCCCATGGATTCAGAGGTAACGCAATCACAGCGACACATAGATCACAACAAATTTCCAATCAAACCGAGAGCAAGCATTGAAACAGGCTATTCTTATATTACCAGTGCTTGAGATATCAACAGTGACATATTTACTGTCGTAACCATGTGAATCTGTGTACAAATGGAGCAGGTCAGTATATAATTTTAGCCTGACCTTTTTTTTGTTGCAAGATGTACTGAGGAAATAAATGGGCAGTGAAAATCTTCCCAGTGGCAGAAGAGAGACTAAAGCTGCATGTTCACTCAAGGATCTGACTTGTACTTCTCTGAATTAGACACAGCAAGGTCACCATGAAATACGGCAAACTACCTCTGATGCCGTCTAGCAGGCCTGAAATAGAGCTGAGAGCTTTTTTAGAGGCGAGAGGACGTCATCGACAAAGGTGTTAATTAGTCTTGCCTCACTGACATCCAATAAATGTGGTGGACAAGATAATAAGACATCCGCGGTTGAGATCTTTGGTTTGTGGGGTTCATTTTATGTTCTTTCCCTCTCAGTTGTCATGGGAAAAGAAGATCGGGAAAAAGATGAAGATGGTGACTCCCTGCCTGGGCAGGTTCAGGCCGGTGGTTGGCCAGTGTTGTCACCAGTGCACCCCGGACAGTCTGGTGAGGGGGGACGACGACTGGGAGGGGGAGGGAGGGAGAGGGACAGAGGAAAGGTAATTAGTTGCTGTTATTCTGCTTCGATCATGTACGGGGGAGGGACGCCCCGCCTCAAGTCCCAAAGTCGTTCTCCTCTGCTCCGATGGGCACGGAGTTCGGCTCCGATGGACACACACATACACACACACACACACAGACACATAGACAGACACGTGTGCGCACACACTTGTAAGCACACTCCCACCAGCGGGCAGAGCGCGCACGCTGGAAAAAGAAAACGTTGGCGCCCGTCCACACCACCACCACATAGTCATATATATGTGTAATGTACTGCAACAAACTGTGATTTTGCTAGTGAGGTCTCTGTAGACGCCACCATCCAGATGGCATCCCTCACCTGCATGGGCCTTTTTTTTTATTCAATACAACAAATGATATGTGGTTTTATCTTGACGGCCACCTCGTCTGTCTTTGTGTGCTCTTCTGTCGCGCCGCAGCAAAAGGAGCCTGGGCCGACCTCTCCCCTCGGCTTTAAAAACCTGCTGAGCATCGAGGAGACGCAGACCAGGTATTGATGACATCCACGGCTTTCAGGCAAACAAAAAACGCAGCGGTCTCCGAACGCACTCGCCCTGTCAAAAATGTCTGCGCTCTTCTGTGAGTGTGTTCTTGTGCTGCAGGTATCGAGGCTGGCTGGTGCGGAGGGTGTGCTGCCTGCTGTTTGTGAGTGGGTGCAAGATTTACGCCAACCCTGTTAGCAACAGACTGGACCGAGTCTGTCAGAGCCAAAGGTACCGGAGGAGGAGGAGGTGGAGGAGGAGGGGGTTGGAATACCTGCAGCGAGTAAATAAATGAAAGGCATAGATACAGAAAATAAAAGGCTCCTACAGTTCTAGAGAGAGGGAACCAAAAAGGAGAGGAGATGAGAGGCGCTAACAGAAAATGAACAGCGCCTTTGGTTCTGTGCGGAGACAATAAACACTCTGCCCCATCTGTCGACGTGTGTCTTCTTCTCATCTCTTGTTGTCTCTCCCTGGGTGTCATTGAGTTGAACCTTTTATGTAAGGTGGCCTCCTGACTCGGGGATGTGGTTGTTGTCTCACTGGAAGGCATTTTTGTCTTCACCAAGCACAGAAGAGGCTTTGTGAGGTTTTAACCCTGCTGTCCTGTGACCATGTGTTTCAGGGTGAAGGAGGCGCTCACAGCGGAGCACAATGCGCAGGAGGGGAGAGACGGCCAAGGGCAGCTCAGCCGCCTCTCGCCACTCCCCCCCATCGTTAACACCTGCATCTCCCCTGGCTTCTTGCGGTGCGCTGGGCAAGATTCAACGATGTCTGTTTATTGTTTACGTATTGATTACTTTTTGTATTCAAGCAAGCCTTTCACTGCAACAAGGAATAACTAGGAGATGAAGCGTTGTGAGGTTCAGTTCAGTAACTTTTTTTGTCTCAGCAAAAAAAAAAGCATCAATACAATCCACTAATGCTTGGTTCACAGTAGCAGCGATCAAAGCGAAACGCTCAGGCGTGCAGAGCTACATTGTTGCCCGAGTCGCAGTTAAAGTGCCGCTCAAGCGCTTGTTGATAGTCGTTTTTAAACAGCGCTGGGGAAAACAAGACGCACAAGACTTCCCAGCTGAGCGATTCTTCGGCGGCCGTCACTGTTACGCAGCGTCCTGTGTTTGCCGTGACAACGACTTGTAGCCTGAGGCTGTGTCACTCATAGCAACACACATGGAGACGCTCCAGGATTCCAGCGGGAAAACCCTCCTCGCAGGATGAACTGTTCGGTGTTTGAAGTTCAAAGGTTCCCATGACGTCACTACGCGTTCTTGTCCAAAACTCAAGGTGGTTATGACAATGTGACAAAAATATTTAATGGGAAAAAAATATTTGAAAAAATAAGGGCTGGCATGGATGTTAATTGCAACCTAACTGGTTTGCTACAGAACCGTGGGGCGGAAATTCTAGTTCTATTTCTTCCTTACTGACCGCCAGAGGCAGTCTACTGTTTTGCGCATGCACAGGTCAAGTATTTATACCTTTATAAGTCACCTATGACCTCGGATGACCCCCCCGTCATATATGTACATACTACTCCGGCGGTCATCCAGGATCCATAGAACAAAATAAAAATCTATCTTTCTCTGAATCAACACTTTGAATAGACTAAAATCTGTGGTATTTCTACAGACAAAGGCAGGGTGCAGCGTAGTCCTGTTTCACAAACCTGGATTCTTGTCTAAAAGACATTATTGAGCCAAATTGTTGCTACAGCAGACATCTTTTCTGTGTAACAATGGGCATACACACCATCCCGCTTGAGTAATGTTTGTTTTTAAAAAAAACAGCTACCGGCTGTTTCAGGGAACTCTATATTCTTGGCTTGTTACTTTTTACTGAAAACAAATGTGCTCGTGGACTGAGAGGCGAGAGGTTTTTCTGTTTTGCCGGAGAATTTTGGTCTTTTCGCAGGATTTCTCGACGGTAACAAAAGTGCAGACCACTGCCAGCCTTATCCCCTAAAAGTGCCGTGCCCTAGGGCATCCGCAGCCGGCGCTGTGGAGAAGACGACACGCAGAGCGGGGGAATTTTTAGCTGTGGCGAAATCGGAAACCGTTCACAGAGCGATAAAACAAACTGTAACATCGTCTGTGCAGAAAATCAACATTTTGATCTGACACCCCCGGATGCCCCGAAAATGACTCATATATTCCTGCCGCTCCACAGCAGAACAGTAAACAAAAAGCAGCAATGACAGCAAGTGGAAAGAAAAAGAAATTGCTCTGCTTTCTAAATCTGGTGCCACGTGGGAGAGACGCACACCAAGAAATGGTTCTCAACCACTGCGGCGCTCGCCGTGTGGGATGTTTGTCAGCGTGCGCATGTTAGCACCCAGAGGCACGCGACTACCCGCCAGGTGCTCGCCGAGATGATTGTGAGCAGCTGAGGCATCCACCTGTGGACGGGCGGCGCGTGCTGCTCACTCCCAAAGTCTTTGTTTTCTGCTGGTGTCTGGAGAGATGTCGTGGACGCTCGTGGCTTTAAATGAACTTTTTAGGCTGTCTCCACAATCTCTCCACAAAATCTGCCTGGCACTGTCTTTCTTCTCCTCCCCCTCTCCGGCATTCACAGCCTCGGCCTCAGTCTCTATCTGCAACTGTCATCCTAACACACACACACACACACACCACTCTTTATCGCTTTCCATTTTGCGTCTTCCCTGTGTCATCAGTTTCTCCCTCGACCTTATCCGTCTCCTCTCCACGTTGTCACACTCCCATCTATCTTGTTTACATGTCAGCCTCAGCTCCATCCTTTTGGCGGCCTTTTCTTCTTCTCGCTGTTAAACCGTGTCTTATTCCCTTGTGGACATTTTCATCATCTCCTATCATTAATTATTTTTTTCTCCTCTTCTTTTCATACATGTCCCCCCCCCCTCTTCCCCTGGCTAGATTCCTGAGCTGGGTGATGTTGAAGATGTTTTCCTCCGTGTTTGGCAGTATCCAAGTTAACCTCGACCATCTGAGGGCTCTGCACAGAGCCTCACAAGAGGTGCGAGTATCTACAAACACGCACATACATATGCACACCAAATCGCCATAACTTATTTAATACACGGATGATTAAATGTGCTGGCATGAGCTGCTGCCCCCCTAAGGGTGTCAGCTCCTCATGCGAAACATGCAAAGCATAATTTGAATCCAATAATTTATGCTAGCATGATGTTTTGGCTCCGCGCACGTCCACGTTCAGGATGTGCTCAGCCATCTAATGAGATGGTGAACAAATTACGGCCTCGTGTTTACAAAGCCCTGACTGAATGTTTCATATATAAGGGTACTCTTTAGTGCAGTAAATGTACGGCGGCTTTTTAAAGTCTGGAAGAAGAAAAAAAAAGGGGAAAACACTGAAGCTTTCTAGTTTCTTTCTTGCCACGTTATTTTTAATTATTATTTTTTTTACAGAAGACTACACAGCTGTAATTACATGGTTGACTAAATAAGCGCAAGTAAATAAGACAGAGTCGGGCTTCTGCTGCAGAGGCTGAAGACGGGCATGAATGAATCCAGTGAGCTATGGCGTTAGTTTAGATCTCTAAACTAGATGCACTCTATTACGTGAAGAAAGGCAAATCCACACAGGAAATTGATCTGTTGAGGCTTGTGATTTTCAGTTGTTGTTGGCTCACTTCTCACATCCTCTGGGTTGTTTTCGGTTTATTTTGTTAATTTTGAAAACCCGTAAAGAATGGGGGAATTGTGAAAATGTGTTTTTAGTTCTGGATTGATAACGTTAATCTGTTTACCGTACAATGTGTGGTCTGTAAATAATCCGTGCAATGAGACACTCGTATGTGACGTGACGTCCATGTCTTCATATAACACATTGATTTTTTTGCTGTTATTTACACATGAAAGTAATTCATGTTTATCCATTTTTAACATGGCTTTGAAAGGAGTATATAGTTAATAGATATTTTAGTTTTGTTGTGGATTTCAGTGCATTTTTTAAGGTACACAATCATCATTGGTTGTAATCATGTTTTATCTTGACTTTCCTTAATAAATAAATAATATATATATATATATATATATATATATACATTGAATAATTGATTTTGCAACAGTCTCCTCCCATTTTATATTCCACATCTGTAATTGGGGAAAACAAGTCCATTCAAAATTCCTCAGAATGAACAAGACACTGGCATTTTGCAGCTCACTCAGTCCCTCAAACGTTCTCCCCACGCACAACCTTAATATCTGCGTGAATGGTTTTAAATGTTCCGTTTTCTTTCACTCTCCTGATTCACTGTGGAGCGTGATAATAATATTGATTGAATATGAGTCCCCAGAAACACACTCCGAACCCGTGTGCCACCTGCGCACAGTAGACCATTGTTGGCCATAATCAATGGTAATGTGAAGAATCCCGTTGATCCAAATCTGCTTCTCTTCTCTAATGCAGGGATCCCCGCTGGTTTATGTGCACGTGCGTCAGTGCGCCGCGGACTTCGCTCTCATCCCTCTGGTGCTCTTTTGTCACAACCTGAGGGTCCCATACACTGTTTGTCCACTCCACATTAAAAGCTCATTTATAAGGTATGGACACAAACACACAAAGCCCCACATAGAAAACCGTATCTTCCCACGTACATGATGCAAATTTATTTCAATTCGAACCTCATAATGGCATTGTGGGGAAAGTTCAAGAGAACCCGTACAGGAAGATTAATCCTCTGGGTACCATGCGTCTCTTAGTTATGTGTCCACCCCATAGATCAATCCTGCAGAAAGTCGGAGTGGTCCTCCTGCCGTCTTCTGCACTGACAGAGCAGGATGCTGAGACGGACCCTCTGTACTCACCCGTCATGACCTCTGTAAGTCTTACTCCACTTACTGTACACAACCTTTTTGGGTGAGATAAAATGTGCCGATGTTCCTCTACATTAAAGGTCTTTCGGTATTTAAGTAAAACCTCATGGTGGTTTCTGGGTGAAAAGGTTAAGTGGATCAGTCCTGTAAGAGTAAAGCCCTGGGGACCATGAATATCTGAACCAAATCGTTGCTTAAATACTGTAAGTGAAGTAGTCTGGTACAAAGTGATACACCAACGACGTCATCCCCGGAGTGAGGGAGCCGGTTAGTTAAAAATAATTATTTTATATATGTCAATCAAAGACTCATTCGGAGAAGCTACATAAAGCTAATTTAGCCGGCAGCGTTGATTGGAGCTCGTGGCGTTGGACGACTACTCCTTCCCACAACAACTACCCAATGACAAACTTTCTGTTTCAATTCAAATGTGCGATGACACTTTTGAGCCACAGACTTTTTACAGCCGTCAACACACATACAAATTCCCGCTTCAACAGTCAAAAGCTCATTCAGGTTTCATGTTCCCTTTTCTGAGAGTTGCAAGCCGTGAAAACATCCCCTCGGCACAATCCTTACCAGCATGACAATCGGAGCGGTTGCTCATTAGCTTCTCAATTGAAGCCATAAACATCCTGTTTACATATGAATGGAATCGAAGCGCCGGGTCACGAATCAGAAAACCCGCCGCTAATGCATTTTGGTGTAAATAAAAAAGAACCCTCACAGATGGCACGTAATTATATAAAATTGCCGGGTGAGCAAGAGATACCTGTCATTGTAATTTGGCTGTTTAGCGTTTGTCATTCGGGTCCAATTCCTACTCACTGGCGTACACACTTTTCCTTTCCCTTCACGGTGGAGTGTTATCACAGTCAGACCCTCACTCAGAACACAACCTGCCCCCTCCCTCATGCCCCCGGTCTCATCCCACTTTCTATTCATTGTCAAAATGACCAAGCAGCTTGAGGTTTGCTTCCAAGATTGTAGCTTTTGAGTTGGCTGGAGTGACAAAGCAATGAGGAGAGGGTGGATGAACTAGAATAATGGTGGTTAGCTTGATTGTGTGAGCTTGGCAGGTCTGAGCGGGCTGTTTCTTTTTTTATAGGAAGGTAATTTGGTTTTTTTTGGCCTTGTTTTGGAGACTAATGTGGTCTGTATTGATGGCTCCCTGCTCTCTCTCCTGCCTCCTCTTGCATCCATCACACTTTCCTCGTGTGCCTTCTTTCTTCTCTTTGCCTAATGCCCTGTTTATTGTTGTGTTTTTTATCAATGATCAACACCTGCTCATCATCAATATCTTCCTGTCTATACCCGCAGGGGAGCTCTCCTGCGTAGTTGATCAAATTGTCTGAAGATGTATTTAATTTAGTGAAGCTACCGACGTTGTTAAGATCAACATTGTGCTATGGAGCTCGATTGCACGGCGCAGTCAGGCATCAATCTACAGGACTACAGCCACAGTGGAAAATACGCAGGTTGTTTATAAGTGAAGTAGCAAGTTTTTAAAATTATTTTCCATTTACCATCCATGGGAGTAAGCCCATTGGCTGTGCATGTGAAGGCAGGCTTGTTTATTGGCTCTATTTCAATGTTAATAGACCATTTATTATTTATTGAGTGTAGGCCTGCTTAGCTGCTGCTCAATGGTAATTGAATTTTTCTTGCCTGTGATGTGAAAGCGGTACTTGGGGTGAGAGGAGCATCTCCCCATAGCGCCTTTCTTCATTTCTGCTCTTTTCCCTGCCTGCTTCCTGCTGTTGGATTTATCTTCCCTCTGCTGCTCTCCACACCTTTTACCCCTCCGCATTCCCTGCAGTGTCCGGTTCTTTGTCTTTTCATCTTTTTATTTTCAGTTTATTCAGGCTACATGCGAACAGAACGGCACTCAACTCACCTGCTAACCACGCGCCCCCCTCCCTCCCTTTTTCAGCTGGTACGTGAGCTGCTGGATGAGAGTCAGGCGATAAGCGTCGGTGTGTCAGCGGAGTCTGGTCGAGGTGGCCGGTGGCTGGCTCACGTCACACAACTCATCAAAGAGGGATCTGTCTCCGATGTCAGTGTGGTGCCTGTGGGCATCTCCTACGACTGTGTCCCCGAGACCAACACACAGGTGGCTGCTTGTGAACGCACATAGAAAACGCTGCTTAATGTGAACCATCTGGGAAGCTCCTCAGGAGCAAGGGAACAAATTTGGTTTAACGTAGCAGATTTCCGACTTGTCAGGTGAGCCCCGGAAAAGTGTTGAGACAAAGATGCTGCCTGAAGTGGGACGGATATGCGCCCGGGTTTTATAAACAGAACTTGGCTGAAAAATTGTGGTTCAAAGTATTAAAGTAATCCAGTAATTAGGAACGGTTCGTAGCAATGGGTTGAGTAGCACACAGTGTAACTCACTGAATCCAGGGCAACATGATACATTAGACTGTAATTTACATCCCGCAAGCATTATGGGGACTTCAATCCATTACTATTGACATATATTGGTTAATTTCATTCAGTTCTTTTGACATGATGGAGACGATGCAATTTAACATTGTTCCAATACAGAGCATTGAACTGATCACAATAAACAGGATATAATTATCCAATAGACCTTTGTAAGTAATAGCACAATTATGTTGCCATGTCAATATGTTTTGACATAAGTAATTCTTAGAACATTGCAGTGGGTCTGACGAGTTGACCTGATGTCTGATGGGATCCATCAGTGTTAAAACCAGCTTAAAATCCAAATAAATAGCCGGTGATGATCCAGAGAGAAACTTTTTAAATTCTTGTTTCACAACCTAATTACTTGCTGCTGTTCTGCGCTTGACGATTAGTTGAGATTTGCTTTTCTTTTATTTAAGCAGAGTGATTGTTATGAGTCTCTCTCTGTTATCTGTACTCTGAGAGGACACTGGTGAGTGGGTGTTGCTCTCCGTTAATTGCCATAATAAGGTCCTCACCTCATCATTTTGTTCTGTCATGCAGGACACAGTACACAGTACTGAACACACAGTTCTAGTACCAACACTCTCAGGCCGCCTATTAATCTTAGTGCTCATCATAGATCCTGCTCATTAGTGCTTTTGCTGCTGTAATGACCCTCCTAAAGGCCTCATTATAATACAATCACTAACTCTATGTTTGACTCTTATGGCTGGTGCGTGTGCGCGTGTGTGTGCGTGTGTGTGTGCGTGGTGTCCCCTCACAGATTGGCGTCGGCTCTCTGTTTCGGTGGTTGTGGTCGCTGCTCTGGAGGAGCCCGGATAGAAGCGTGAGGATCCATCTCGCTCAGCCCTTTTCTCTCAAGGTGCACAAGGAGAAGGAGCATATTATTTAGAGGAGCGACGGCCAACCTTTGTGGCACCCTGGTTATAGGCGGGTGGATGGGTAGCGCCACAAATAAGTGGTATTTATTTCCCTGAATGCTAATTTTATTTTAAGATCTTCAGTAGTGAGTTTTTTGGGATTTTGGGAAAAGTGCAAAAAGCAAACAGAGGCTTCCATCTTTCTTTTCCTTGAAATCATCTTGTGCTTTCTTGTGGAGATTGGACAGCTGAAGAAGAAGCCTTCCTATAAAACCAAAAAAAACGACTTGGCTTCTACAGATGTTGATGTTTTTAAATAAACATATCTCCACACTTAAATGATAAAGGGGCTTTTGATGCGTATTGGGAGTTTCTGGAATTTTGTAGTCAAGAGCAGATTTGTCTGGACAGTTCCAGATTCACTGCCGGTGTTGAGTACAGTTGATTCATTCAACACGGTAGCATTTATTGTGGGAGGAAATTGGCTGCAGCAATAATTTATTCATTTATTTTGCGGGGACAATGCACACTCATCAACAGTTGTACTGTAAGTGAGCCAGAACGGCTCAATTCCATCTACTGTGGCCGGCCAGATGTTTTTACCGCATGTTTTAAAGTAAACCTGGTAGAATATTCCTTGCTCAGTTTACTAAAGCACCAGTATTGGTGGAAATAGACATTGTACTTGTGTTGTGTTTTTCATCTATATTATTGCTTTTATGTGTTCAGGAGATGTGTGACTCAGGGAGGTGCAGAGTAGATGACTGGCTCCCTCTGCAGGACCTGTTGCTGCCTGTTATCTTTAACAACAGGTAACCCCCCCCCCCCCTCACCCCAAACCCTGTTTAGACACATGAGTGCCAGTTGACACACAAACCACAATGGTACACGGATTTTGGTTGTGTGTTATCTAACATCTGTCAAATCAAGTTGCTTTCTCTCAAACTTTGAAGATAAACCTTGAATCTAGCACAGACGCAACAAGCGTTTTCATCCTCTTAGACTTGGTCCAATTACTATCTACACTGCACAGTCTGCCAGCGGAAAATAAGATAACGGAAAGAAAGTGACATCCTTGCCCGATCTCGTCTGGGAGTGGCTTCTCCCCTCGTGTGTTTAATTCTGGGGGACTCAGAGTAAAACATCTTTAAAATGTTTAAAAGTCCCAGAGAGAGAACAGCAGCAAGCGCTGGATGAGTGGAGGCCGAGCCTGATGGTTGGATCGGATTGTTATCAGCATGCGAGCAGTTCCAGCTCTGTGTGTGCGTCTGCTTCGTTAACATTCTCAACACTGCGTCTGTGCTGAAGCCTTTTTCATTTTCTGTCTGCTCACATGTATCAAAAAGCCTGAGAATTCCTCACACGCACAACACTTATTTTCCACCCATTAGTTATTCTTGTGTGAGATGAACATTTCCATTCTCTGCAGGATTTCTGTGTTAACAGAGGCCAATAAGACGCGCTGTGTCCGACACGCCGCCGCATATCTCCCTCACACACGCACCGCTGAGACTCGTAAATAACACGCTGGTTTCGCTGCAGCGTAGCCGCAGATAAGCGTCTCGTGAAATGTGTCGCTGTTTTCGAGTGACGTGGCTGCTGTTTTCACACTCTTGTGTGCACCTGAAGGCTGCTGGGGGCCGCAGGATTATTTCACTCCCACTTGAGTGTTCTTGTCATTTCCCTGAAATGTGTTATCAAGTAATCAGCTGAACTCTCATAATGGCCCTTCAGAGTTTACTGGAATCGTAGCTAATGTTCCTTCCTCCTCAACCACAAATGTTGTAATAAAAGCAAATTGAGCGTCACAGAAGATCCCCATGTAATATAATCGTTTTCTTTCAGCTAGGGCAGATAAATACTTGATCACTACTAGATTGTATGTAACTCCCTTGACATTGAGTCTAATTTACTGCGACACGCTCCGATGGCACGAGGCCAACCGTCTGTATTTTCTTACGATTACTGTGGTTCAATCGCGTGCAGCCAAACAAACTTTTGTTTTAAAGAAAGTGGGTCATTTAGCCCGAGGACTCTACAGCTAACTGCTCACTGAGGTCGCTCCCCTTTCTCTTCTGTCCAGCCCAGTAATATTAAAAACAGACGGGTGGTCAAAAGAGATGCTGAACGACCACTGCTGGCAGCGGTGTCAGATTCAGTTTGCTTCGCGTCGACCGCATCGACCCACGCCGCATGTTTTGCCGATTGAACTCCTTCGGTGTCAGCGGGGACGTTTGGTTTTCATGAGCAGTAACCTGCACCGCTCTGACTACACAGCGGTGACACTGCGTACAGCGAGGGAGGAGAACACAATGCGGCTGATATCGCACTTGAGTCCACCGCTAACGATGAAATCGACCTCCTTGAGGGTCGGGGTGGCCTCGCCGGATAGAAACACTAAGCTTGCTCTAATGAAAGCCCTAACTTTCCAAAAGTCATTCCTGACTTCCTCCTTCCCTTGTCTCCCTTTTATGCGCTCAAGAGACTGTGTGTTTGGGCAGAGGCGGATGTCGTGGCTCCTGCCACCTCCTCATTATGCAACTGAAAGCGGAGAGCAAACTCATCGAGAGAGAGACCTCAGCATCGCCATCATCCTCCACCTCATCCACTGTAGGTCCAGCGTTAACTTCCCCTGCTGGATCGTAAACACATCTTCATAAGCTGTTTTGTTTTTAATGCTATGCAAATTATCCTGCATCCTCTGTGTGTGTGTGTGTGTGTGTGTGTCTTTGTAGCTGCAGCCTCCTGCACAGCTGTGATGTCCACCAGTCTGGTGTCGAGCCTTCTGCTGTTCAGACATCGCAAGGTAAGTGCCTGCTCTCACAGTTTAAAAATCCGCCCCCATCGCCAGTAAGGCTCCATCGTCACTCAATGGGTTTGATGAGAGTGTTAATTCCTGAGTCGGGCTGTTAACTCTGGACCAAAAGCCTCTCTTGTCCCCTCGGCAGGGTGTGAGGGCCTCGGCCCTGAGTCGGGACGTGGCCTGGCTCACCGAGGAGCTGCTGTTCCGGAACAAGGACGTGGGTTTCGGGGGAAGCTTGGAGGACGTGGTCCGCCACTCCCTGTCTGTGCTCGCGCCTCACCTCGTCATAACCGCCGCGCCGTCTAGGTTTGGGTTTTTCTGTCCGTCGGGAAACAACCGAGAAACAAAGCACAGTGAACTTGTTGCTTATCCAAAGTCCAGATTCCCTCTCAGTGAAGCCGCTGTCTCCGTTACTGTTTGTCTCCCACCTTGTAGGACGGACCCCGTTATAGTCCCCCGTCCGTCTCCTGCTGCCTCGCTTCACCTCAGCCGCTATGCCCAGATTGTCACACACACCTTCATTCCGGAGGCTGTTGGCGGTGAGTGACGTTTAAGAGTAAATATCCTCCTCTGCTCTACGCCACCTTATCTTTGGTGGGAGGCCTTTTCACTATCGAGAACCAGTTTGATTCTTGACATTTCCAAAGTCTGTGCATTTTATATATTCTGAAATGCAAAGTTCTGAGCGGTGTCGGGGAACTGTGCACGCAGTGGCTCACTTTGTTTCCCCTGAAGTGAGAGAAGGCAACTCTTTCTCTTCCCACTTCTTGTACGATTATCTCCTCTGATGTCCAGAGGAGATAATCGTATGTATGCCATGTAAAGATGATGGATGAAGCGCTGTACCTCAGTGTTTTCCCTTCCTTATAATAGCGGGGCGCCCTTCAATTTATTTTTCATAAGCATAATCTTTCCCTGACCTTGCAGTTAGTGCCGATAGCGAGGATATTAAAAACCTTGGCGTTTTCCATAATCTGGCATAATGAGGAATCTTCTTGGTCAAAGTGTTGGAAACTGCATAATAAGTAAAAGTATGCGTAAAATATGGTGATCATCTAATGGCGGTTACTCAGCCGTGCTAACAGGGAGACTGGGGTGAAGCCGCATATACAACAGCCCCATTTGAGTTAAAAATAATGTGGTGTTGGAATCTACTTGGTCTGTATGATTCATCACTGCTGCATGACTCGGTTGTATAGGAAGTGGAGCTGGTGGGCAGTATGCTTTGTGCTCATAGCTTCTGAGTGTACTATAGATTAATACATGGGGGCTATATTGAGGTAATAACATTTTGTTGTATAACAATGTAAGCTTTGTTCCCTGTGGGGACCTTTGGTGGTGAGCAGTGATCCGCAGTGTGTTTTTGGATCTCACCTCCCAGGGATCCTCCGTCTGCGTTTCTTACTATTTTTTTAGTAGTAGTGCACATTCCTTCAGTAAAAGCAAATAACATTTTTATTGAAAAGTGCTCCATTCAAAATGTAGGGTCTTTTGAAATTGAGGATTGCATTTTCTTGACTGACTCGAGGCAACTCGGAAAGACGAGATGAGAAAATGAATCTACTCCTCTTGCTTTATTCCCTCAGTAAACATAAACATGGGTTTATGGTAAGTTTTTAAGTCTTCGATTCAGCATAATGTCTATTTTGTAACTTTCGACTCAATTGGACCATAAAATAGAGTGTGCTTTAGGGCGGGTTTACTGCGATTGACAGGTCACTACCGCTGCCAGAGCTGTAGAGCGTGTCTCTGCGTCACTCTGCATGCGTGACGCCACGACAACTCCTTCAGTTCTTATATTCAGTCCCTCGTGGTGATCCAGCCAACAGGGTTTACGACGCCGTTATCAGCAATAAATGAGCTCACCTGGAACGGCTTTTTAAAGCCCAGAGACTGTTCCTTGAACTTGAACTTGATTTTGGAGTAACGCACCGTTTAGGTAAAAGTACAAAATAGAAGTACTCCTTATTATTATGGTCTGTGTTCAGTGTTTTTCCTTTTCTGTGACAATGTCTGCGACTCAAGACTTTCCCTCCAGCACATGAAAGCAAGATAATAAGGATAAAAAGTATAAATAAAGAGGTGAAATACTCAACTCTGAATCTCATAAGCTGATTCATTAACCAAACCGCTTAAACCGTTTCAGGCCTGTTTACTTTGGACAGTAAAAAAAATATATATATATTTTTAAAATGTCTATTTAAGCAAATAATCCATCTTTCTGTGCGTGTGTGTGCGTGTGTTCCTAGCGTGTGCTGTGTCGGCCATGCTGTGCGAGCTGGTCGGCAGTGGCCTCAGCAGCAGGGTGAGGAGCGGCGGCGTGGACGGAGAGCAGGTCAACGGCGACATGGAGTTCGACGTGGCGCTCTGCCAGTCCAAGCTGACGGAGAGAGCCCTGCAGCTCTGCCATCTCCTGCCCCCGGGCTTCATGCCAGTGAGTCGGGATTCACATTGTGCACGCACGCACACGCAGACACACACATAGAGCGCCTCGTTCAATGGATGTTTAATGGAGCTGAACAGCCATTCATCCTGCCTCTATCTCAGGCCCAGAGAGGTCTGAACCGTGTGTGTGTGTGTGTGTGTGTGTGTTCGTGCACTATCCATCAGGCTGACTGAAAGTGCTCCGAATTCGAGCCAGAAATGGTATTTCTTTTTTTCTGTTTGCTCAGCTTTCATTTCAGCGGCTGCACTTTCTTGTCTCTTCAGCTGGCATCTTTTTTTTTTTACTCAGTCCCCCATTTGTCGCCGGAAAAATGATCGCTGCCGGTCTCACCGTCCTGCCGTCCTTCTTTCAATATCCTCTGATCTCTGCTACATCTCCATTAAACTGCGTGTGCGACTAACCTTTGTTCACGTTTAAACTTAACCATTATCATCTCCCTCACACTTGGACATACGAGACATCCAGGTGTGCGTTAGTTTTTAGAAGAATGCTTTATTCCTCAGTTAGCACGGTAAGAAGTGCGCGTCGGCGCCACGTTACAGGTGCACGCTTTACTCTTTTCCTTCTTCTCCCGTCTTCCAAAGCGTGCGTAAACATCTCCTGGTTGTCTCCTAAACAAGGACCCCTTAGGTGTCTTAACTCTCACTTACCAAAACATACACAATATCTCTTAGCAAAACAACATATGCCAGGTTAATGAACAAGAATCAGGTAAATGAATAATGGAATATAGGGGCGTGTCCATTTACTGTAGCATCTCAATCCTGTGGACCCCACAATATAATATGTTTGTTCGGCCGATGCAGTAAGAAAATGGATTAACATTATTAAATAAACAGTAATGTGCAAATATTACGTTAATTTGGGGAAAATTGCTAAATTATTTTCCCCACAGTACAATAATTAATTAGTAACGTTGTAGCGCTATCTTAATCTCTCGCTCTCCCTCCCTTCAGCCCTGCCAGTCGGCCTGTAGTTTTGCTCTGGATGCGGTTGACAGTCTGGTACGCTGTGGCATCCTGATCATGGAAGAAGTAAGATATTTTACACGCTTCTATAAGATGAAACACAACTGTCAATATGCATATTGCTTCTCATCTGCTAAATGTATATTTTCTTACATTGGACCGGTTTAGTACAATGAAGGAAGCAAAATTAGAAGAACAAGTGTAGTCTACCATTTCAATTCATTTAATTTTATTTTGTATAGCCCAAAATCGGAAATTACAAATTTGCCTCAGAGGGCTTTACAGTCTGTACACATGAGACATCCTCTGTCCTGAAACCCTCACATTGGAACAGGAAAAACTCTCCAAAAAATGAAAAACCCTTCCATGGGGAAAAAGGGGAAGAAACCTCAGGGAGAAGGTCAGAGGAGGACAGATGGATGTCATGTGTACAGAATGAATGCAAACGATTTACAATACATTCAATTCCTGTGACAAGTAGTAAGCAGGTGTACGGCAGGACCACTGCAGGGACAACCACCATCACATAGAACCGCCATCCACAGAAGCCTGTGGGGAGGGAAAGCACAGGGACTTCGGGGTAATGTTGGTTTATGATGACAGTAATAGTATATGATTAATATTTAAAATAGTAATAATGATGATGATGGCGGCAGCAGGTGTCAGCAGGGCCACGGCAGGAGGCAGAAACACGGTCCAGATAGAGCCATGGAAACCTGTGAGGCGAGAAAGCACAAATACTCTGTGGAGGAAACAAAGTTAGTGATGCACATTAATGTTTACAGCTATAGAAATGGGAACATCAGTGGTGTTGGAAGAGGAAGGTGTCAGGCAGGAGTACCAGGGTCCAGACGGAACTACGGTCCACAGAGACCTGCGAGGCGAGAAATTAAATAAGACCACTGACAATTACACACTAAGGGAATTCAATCACAGCAGGTTGGAATTTGGTGTAAACGGGCTTAGTGGGTTGTGAGATTTATCTCACTTTAGTTTAGTAAGGAGTCATTAGATGTTAAACAGGAAAAGCCAGCATAAGACTCAAACACGCAGTTCAAATATTTGAAGCATTTGTTTATTTGCCCTGTAGATTCCCAGAGACGTTCCCATCTGTGATTTCTGGAAAAAGGAGGGCGCTCTGACCTGGACCACCTCTGACGACCCTTACGACAGCGACTCCGACTGTGAGGCGCAGGAGCAGGACTCGCGTTGCTACAAGGTACAGAAGAGCACTGCTGGGCTCCTCTGGTTTCTGCACATGCCTCAGTGAAGCAGCAGAGGTTATATGAACAGAACAAATGTTCAATGCTCGCCGACCTACAAAGGATGGACGCCTTCTGGGCACGTTAAAAATACCAGAAAGTCCACACAAGAAAGAACTTTGAAGGAACTAAATCTCCATTACAAAAGCACCTACACAGGCGCCATGGAACTTGAATCTCAATTAGCGGTACGTGTCATCTTAAAAGGAGCCCGACTGTCATGACTGTTATGTGTTCCTTTTTCAAAGCTTCCCATATTCCAAAGGGACCAAAACAGCCAGTGCTCAAGAGCCTGGAGAGTGCATGTGAAACTGCAGAGCCCGAGAGCAGCTATCAAAGCACACGTGGATCAGCAAAGACATCTGATGGATAAAGCACTTTATTTATTTCATGTTTTCCACATAAAAATAGTCACATTTTTTAAAAACATTTGAAACATCTTGCATGGATGCGAAAAATATTCGTGGAAAAAGACCTGAGAAAGATCACACAGATTTGTGTGTGTGTGTGTGTGTGTGTGTGTGTGTGCACACAAACTGAAAGTGCAATACAACATGTATTTATCCTACGAAAGATGGTTGGATACGCACACATTCGCCTCCATTTGGAGCAGAGTGCTGCAGATGGTGGGGGCGGCAGCTCAGAGAGCAGCACACCAAGCTGGGCTCGCACGCGCCGTCATCCAGGACGGCCGTTGTTTGACTCTTTACTTTCATCCCCTTTCTGTATCCGTCTCACGAGACGGGGGTTTGTAAACCGCTGCTCCACACCTGTATAAAACCGTCCCCCCGACTGCAGCTTGGACCGCAACGTTTTTACTCTCTACTCTGAAGGTTGTCTTCCTTTCTCCCGGGTCCTCAGAGCAGACCTCCATGCCGGTTATCAGTTATCCTGATTTAATCCGGTTTGTCCCAAGATGCGCGCTTGCAGTAATGCGAGTTAAGCTGCTATAATGACTCATTCTCCAGAAAAGCCTGGCCTTGTTCAGCGATTCATACCCAAACACTTTTCCTCTATATAAAAAATATGAAATCTTGACCATATGTCTTTCCATATCACGTGTTTGTAGAAGACGCTGTTAAACTATTTATAGAGGCATGTCTCTGTCTCGCTCATTACCAGATGCAACCATGGATAAAACACTTCTCTGTGTTTGACCTTGAACTCCCTGAGCACCTCCGGGAGGACTGAGCCCCGAATGTGAGCCGGGCTCACTAATGTCAGTTGAGCAGCAAATCCCTGCTGCCAGCTTCCAAAATTTAGTGGAGCGCCTTGATCTGCTGTTATGGCTGAAGATTAAAGCCCACTAATTTGGAATGTTAAGCGCTAAATCACATATTGGTGCGATGCTCAGGGGACCACTTGGGTTTGGCTGTTTAGTGTGGAGAGACTTGAGACGGGTAAAGTTCTCCTATCCTAATGAAAAGCAACATAAAGCTATATTCTATATTGAATACTGCTATAAAAAGGGAGAGCTCTAAAAGGCATTTTGACACAACAGCATTAAAACAAACTTAAAATGAGTAAATGTCCTTATTGCACATTAGTGGTTGTTCTGTTATATCCCACCCGTGTGACAAGAGGGAAATTAATTAGATGAAACAGCAAAGTGGCGTTGAGGTCCCCTAATGATAACGTCTTATGTTGTTTGTTCATTTGTACGTCCCCTCTACCTACTTGAACTTTTTACTGCAAGCTTCCGATCTCCGTACTGAGTTGACCCGCTCTGAGATTTGGACCCACATGAACCGTTTATAATATTGTGCCGGCGCGATGTGACTTTCTGGGGCCGACCCACAAACCGGCGGGCCGGGCGTCCATCCTAGCGGAAAATGCTCTTACATTCTCGCCTCCGTCCACTGTTATCCCAGATAAGCCAGCCGAGACAGTTTCCCGAGTTGCTGTTCTTCCTCTGCGCAATGCTCGCTGGTCATCTGAGGACGCTGTGCTGGGCGACCAGCAGCCTGGACCTGATGCACACACCTCTGCCAGGTACCATTGTACTCATGTCATCTTTGATTGGTGTCCGAGGGTTAGTGACACTCGCACTTAAAAAACGAACTGGAGTATTAAATTAAATCCACATCAAACTAATGCTGGTATTTATTTTCCATGTCTCTGGACACTAATGATGATCGACGCGTTGTGCGTTTCAGAGGCAGAGTTTGTGGCTCTGATGCACTCGCATCTGTGTGACACAGCGAGTCGGGCGAAGCAGCACTACGGTGAGCTCAAACGTGACAGGACACACTCGCACACAAAGACCTGTCCCACTGATTCAGAGAGGGGCCGGTCTGCAGAGACGCTGCACACTCCCATCACACGCGCTCACATTCCTCCTCAAAAAAACCCAACATACAAGACAATGAGAAACTAACCCGAATGAAACCGTATAAGAAAGTAATCCGTCCCACTTGTGACTGCTTTGTTCCGTTGTCCCGACATGGTTTTCTATATTGGGAATGTGTCTGTTCTTTTGATTCACGTGGTCCTCTGTGCCGTTTCTCACAGAGAGCTGCTCGGAGGAGGCTGCACACATGGCAGTTAGATCACTGATAGACCTCGGGGTGAGTGACGATCTCTCTTGCTCGCTCTGTCCCTGTGTGTGTGTGTGTGTTTTAAATGTGCCTGAATTATCGCTCTGCTTAGGAAAGTTTTCGGCGCAATCCGACTCTCCAATAAGTTCTTATTTCAATCCTAGCCTTGAATCCGGGCCGAATACCGAGATAATCGCTAATAATCAATCAGCCGCTATGCGTTTTTTCTACAGTTTTCTTGAGCTTCCAGCTCAGCGTGCGCAGGAATTCAATCAGATTTTGCTGTGAGAGAAAGTGAACCTGACTCGAGCGTGCCATATCCAATCATTCCTGAGGCAGAAATGTCAATCTTTAAGAGAACTCACTGGGCCAAGGACACAAGTGATTTTAAATTAGAAATTGGGAAAGTGTAGCGCACGCAACACTCCGTTTAAGTTGCCCGAGTGAACCACATCTGACATTTGAGGCGTCAATAATAAAAATATACGAGGGAGCCATAATCCTACTCGTGTCAAATCTACTATGATGGATGTAATCGTTTTTATAACATTCATAAATGATCTGAAATCCACTTTTTAACCTAGATTAAATCTTAATAGCTAGAATTGGCGATGTGCTGAAGTAGGAGTTTTATATACACGTACTGAAGTACATCCATTACATGCGGCTCTTTACACCATGCAGCTTGCAGAGCTCCTCCGGCTCTACACATGGTGCATTCATGCACAGTGTTGAGCGTGGGTCACCTGTGCTTTGGCAGCGCTTCAGAGGCCAAACAAAGATCTTTGTTGTTGGTTGCATGAGGCACAAAACACACAAATTAAAAAAAATGTTTGGGTTTTGTAAAACAATTTAAAAATAAGCCGTTGGACTTTTTAATGCACTGCTGTATGGAAAGCTGTAGTCAGCAGCTACTTTATGGATAATAATGTGATAATAATTGTTGAGGTGACGTATTTTGAGAGTTCCGTGACATATTTCCCTTTTCTCTGTGAGAGTTGCGAGTCGATCTGATATGAAAACACTCCACTGAGGCACAATGAACCATGGATTCAACTCTGACGGGACGAGATAAAGGCTGCACGTTTATTGCGATGGATTGTCAGGCGGTGGCAATTTTCACGACCAGGGACGTTTTATTTTTTTCAATCATAAAGTGCAATAAGGAAAGCAAATGGTTTATACGAGCGCCTGCAAACTCCATCTGCACCATCTGTAAGGACTTAAAAAAGAGAGCAGAGCAGCGTAGCTGATAAACAGCAACCTAAAATCAGAGAGTTGGAGAAACACAAACAAACACTACACACAGTGTAGTCATAAAGAATGAAGGAGCCGGCAGCCTCTTCTGCTGACTTTTTAAATCCGTAGATATATTCACCGGGTTTTGGCACAAGTTCCCCGCTGTGATTTACCAGCGACCCTTTCATCTCATGAGTCCGATGCGGCTCCATACATCAGTCTGAGGGTTGAAAATCAATGCCTTTTAAAAATAGAGCATCATTAACCCATATATCTGATCCCATGAGGCCATTATTAACTTTCTTATCATGGTTGTCAGTCAGAAGTGTTTTTTTTTTATCAGGTTCATCTTTGGGATTCCCCGGCTAGCTCCACTCCCTGACGCCGAGACAGCTTGATGTCTAACATCTGCAGGTCAAATCCAGGGGGAGGACTTACTAACACGCAATGCAAACGGACAGCGCTGAATAATCAATACATAATAAAACACGAAGCACCTCATCTGTCAGAAGCGAGGGAAGGGTCACAACGAAGTTATTCTTACTCGGGTGATTTGCACTGATTGGAGTCAGCGAGGGTTGCTTTTGAATTAAATGAAATGTGTCCTTTAGTAAGCAGGGATCGATCACTAACTAGCATTTCCCTGTTTTCTGTTCGCTCCCGCGGTCGAGCGCGCATGCAGGGTGACCTGCCGTGATTTTTTTATTTATTCCTGCTCTCCCCCTAACGCATGCGCAGAGTGCGCCCCCCAGTGGACTGATTAGGAATAGCGGCTACTTTATATAAATCCCACCCCACCTCATTTCAGACTCTTGTGGTGTTATTGATTTGAAAGGTCTTGTTTTCATCTGTTATTAATGTGTATCTATTGTATTCAGCTCAGTGGCAAAATGCTCGCAGTGTTCAAATGAAGGTCGCTAAATATGTGTGAGCGTTGACGCTGATGTGTCTGTCGCCTCAGGTGCTTTCAGAGGAGCGTCGGAGAGGAGGCGTCTCCCTCAGCGTCGGCCCTTTGTTCCAGTCGTCAGAAAACCGGCAGAAACTGCAGCGCTTCATCTCCCAGTACCTCTTCAATTAATATGTTAGAGAGGGCGGCGTCGCGAGTCCGCCCTCGTCCTCGGCTGGCGTCGGGGGGGGCTGCTGTTTGCCGGTGAGACGCACGCTGAGCGGAGCCGCTCGTGCCTTTTTAGGTTTGTTGGGTTTTTGATTTTTCAGTGATAAGACACTGATTTTAAGTTTCTTTGGTAATAGCATTAGCATAAAGCCACAGGAGACGAGCATTATGAAGTCCCTGTAATCAGCCGCCGGGACGTTGATGTTGCCGTGAAGGCCGCTATACTTTTTGTTTGCTCCGCCTACTTTAAGCACAGTTTTCCTTTTTAGTTAATCAGTAAGTCGATGTTCAGGCTGACAATAAAGAAATGTGCCTCGTTTGCTGACTGGGTAGTGGTTAGTAATTGATAATGTGATCAGCTTGTTCTACCTCACAATGCAGATCTTTGTGTGCTGACTCAGTCGGTCTGTTTCGACGTGGACTTTTACACCGAGGGCACGAAACAAATTGATGCCTCACAGTCGAGAGCAACAGCAGTTTTTTGTCATTAGTCAAAGCAAAGCTGCAGTTGACTGTGAAACTCTGGCGCCTCCCGGTGTCGGAGCCCCACAGCAGCAGAGAGGGAATGCAGATGACATACTGATGCAAGCAGGTCGACCAAATCCAGCATCCGAATAACTGCAGGTTCACGTTCGTATAAAATAGTTTGATTTCTTGTATAATAATGCAGAAAGACTGACATACTTTAAACATTTACAATGTCATTCAGTCCAATAGGGCCCTCCATCAGTAATCCAGCTGACACGAATCAATGTGGTGTTGTTGAACCTATCTTGTCTTTACGATGTGTAGAGTAAATATAAGCAACAGCGCTCATTATAAATGTGGTTGATCCTTTTTGCGCTGCCAGATCTCTCGGCCTGGATCATAGAAACCAAAAAACCTCAAGTTCTTCCCCCTCATACGCTGTGTTAACCTGGAGAACTGTCCTTTGGATCTAATCTTGCGGTTTAATTGAGTCATTTATTCCTTTCTGACCAGCTTGAAAGTCACCTCACAGAACTGCAAAAGGTCAAATGAGTCCTGTTAAGTTGTTTAAATGAGTGAAAAGAAAAATATGAAGCAGGTACATGAAAAGCGCAGATCAGTCTTCAACATTTCTTTCGAAGACACTTTTAATTGGCATAAATTCCTCCCTTTTCTCCAAACCAGCTCGTTGTTCTCGCTTCTATTCTCCAAGTTAGCCAACTGTTTTGTGTACTTGCATCATTTAAATGTTGTTCTTTTTTACATATTAGAGGATGCCCGGGTTCAGTTTGTTCTCTATACGCGAGTGGGCGGCTGCTCATCGAGGGGATTTGTACAGCTAGCGATGACCGTCAGGTCAAGCTGTAAACATCCCACTGAGTCACGTAATTATACCGATTCCCAGAGTAAAAATACCGAGGCTCCTCCCTCGCAATTACTCAAGTATCACGAACAAAATCATTCCCAATAATGAGACATCCCACCGGAAGACAAGTCAATAAGGACACTTAGCAGTAATTAATTGTGTGAAGCCGCCAATCAGAAGGGAACTTTGTGTAACAGCCGACATTCCTTCATGGACTCCTGCCTCCGTCAGCAGTTCACACCACCTTGTTGATGATGGAGCCCAATTGGTCGATGTGGCACTCCACCACGTCTCCTTTCTGCGAGGGACACGGGTTTGTTAAAATACAGCTTTAACTGACACACCTCAGTCTATTAAATCACTACACAGTCTCTAAAGCTCTGCACTGCAGCACAAGTACATTATATGCATCCCTTCACATTTAATCACCTTGAGAAATACGGGCGGCTTCCTGAACACGCCCACGCCGGGAGGAGTGCCCGTCAGGAAAACATCTCCTGGAGTCAAAGTCACAAACCTGGCGGAACAGAAGACACACGGTTTGTGATTCCGCAGCAGGACAGAGCGCAGCTTTGTGTCGCGCGGTCAACAGATTAAAAGTGCCCCTGAGTGCTGCGAGGGAGAGGAAGGCCTTCGGGCGGTCAGGGTGATTTGCTCGCACATTTCTGACATTTCCATAATTTATTTTAATATAAACTCTCAGCAACGCGACAGAATTACTGAGGCAAAAAAAATGCGTGTGTGTAGTTGCATAAAGTGGAAGTGCACAGTGCACTTACTTTGAAACCCAGGCGACCAGCGCCTCCGTCTGGAAGATCATCTGGTCCGTGTTGCTGCTCTGCACTGTGTCTCCGTTCACCAGGCAGCGCACGGCCAGGCTGTGCGGGTCTGGAGGGGCAACGGCTCAATTGGATTCACAAAAACTCCCAACGGGTTTTCCTTACAAGAGATCCATTTTTTTTTTGTTTGAAGCTCATAATCTTAAAAATTAGGCAAAAACTAATTTATTTTAATGTTTTATTGGTTAATCATCAATCTTCTGCTGCTCATTATAGTCCAGGTATGATTATCTGATTAATTATAATAAATATCATCTAAATGTAAAGCATCTATAGAGACGTGACAGAAATGCCAATAAGTTAACGGGCTCTACGAATATTATGCTTTTTTTATACCCTACTGATTTTCAGTCACTTTGATTGGTGCGACTGTGAAAAAGGTCAACTGCGTTCTTAAAAAGTCTGCAATTTGGTCACAAGCCTTGATGGATCCTAAAAGCAGCAACTATTTTCATTACAGGGTTGTCGTACACCCGATCGTACAAACGTGAAGATTTATATACGTATTCTGCGTCGACGTCTCCACAATATAAAATATGACAACATGTGCATCATAATATTGGGAGTCGCCACACAGTCGCCGCTCACCTCCCACGGCGTCCCTGGTCACCAAGGCCGGGCCGAGGGGACAGAAGCTGTCGAACGTTTTTCCCAGCAGCCACTGCTTCCCGTTGCGCCTCATCTGCCAGTCGCGGGCGCTGACGTCGTTGGCCACGGTGAAGCCGGCCACGTGGGCGAGAGCGTCTTCCTCCTGTGTGAACGGGGGAGGGGGCGGAGTCAAAGGCGGCGCTCCACCAGCGCACCTGCTGGACGTGATGATGATGATGATGCGACGCTCACCTTGATGTGTTTTCCTCCTCGTCCGATGACGAAGGCCAGCTCCACCTCCCAGTCCACCTCCTTCAATTCAATTAGTTTGCCGTTACTGCCTTTGCATTACACTGCAATCAATCAATGTGGATAAAGGCAAGTGGGCTCGCGCTCACCTGGCTCTCTGCGGGCAGGACGATGTCGTCGTACGGCCCTGTGAGGGCGCTGGGGAATTTGCTGAAGATGATCGGTTCTTTGGGGATCGGGGCGTTCTGCTCCAGGCAGTGGTCCCTGTAGTTCATTCCCACACACACCACCTTCTCCGGGGCCAAGACAGGAGACAGCAGCTGGAGGTCTGAGCGCTCCACCACACACTGACCGGACGCCAGGGCCCTGAGGGTGGAGCAGGGGGACGGAAGATGTAGGAACAAAGAATGGCATCTTCTCCTTCCATCCTGTGTGACAAGTCCCTTTAGGAAGGTGATGGTTCACCACAACGGGGAGATAAGAGGAAGAAGGTTCCTCAAGAAGAAGCTATTTGAGGAAATGGTGATTTTGGAACAAGATGACTGAAGACGATACAGTTGATTAAGGAAGACGCTGGGTTACTATCGGCTCTTTACGATGAGTGGGATTGTTGTTTTGCATTTATTTGACAACTTGAAGATTATAGGATAATGCGGTAACCGTGACAATGATTTATGCAGACGATGAGAATGATTGTGACAAAGTAAAGCACCTAAGAAGATGAGGCTCAATAAGTAAGGAAGTGACTCATGACACAAAACGGAATACAAAGAATCAAGGAATCAGACTTTGCGTTCGATACCTCCGAGCACAATCCAGACCCTCGTCTCCCAGCTGCAGCAGCTCTCTCATGGTGGAGGGCATGGAGGGGTCAAACGCCTTCAGGTCCACCACGCCGAGCCCCCCGGCGCCTTGTTCCACTCCCACCCTGACGCCCCCACTGGCACCGCGGCGTACAAACTGCACCAGACGCATGGCTGCAGTGCTCAGGCCTCGCGTCTGCGGGTTCGATGCCGGACGCCTTTGTGGGAACAAACTCCTGAAGATGCAAAAGGAGTGAAGAGGAAGTCTCATCTGTGGAGGGGAAGTGAAAGTGAGGAGAGCAGATGACCGGCGAAGAAGAGAAGAAATAGAATGTGCATGTCACGTATTTTGTCGTTTGTCCGTTAGATGCAACTCAATCGTGCAAAGGGCCCATAAACGATTCCCGAATCAAGATATGACATTTAAAATGTGAGGGCCTGCAACCAGAGAACGTTTGACACTGAGTTCCTTGTTCGTTTCTTATAAAGATTTACAAAAATCAATTAGTCTTGTCAATTGCAGCTGAAAGCTTGAATAAAATTCAAAAACAACTTGTGGAAACATGATTCTGAAATGTTCCTGCAACTGAACAAACAGTGTGTGTTCACATTGCACAAGTTCTGCAGCTAACGCGCAGCCCAACCAGCTCAACGAGAGCGGGTCGCACAAATGAGTCCGGTGCCAAAATCGGCACCTGTGCCACGACGCGCAGTAAAGTAGCGCAGCGCGAGCTGAGGCGTGAGACCATGAAACGAGGCTGTAAAGCGGGACGCGAGGCTCCAACCTGCTTCTGACGCAACGGGGCCGCGGACACTTCTTACCTGCACTTTGTATCGTGTCTTGTCAACACTCACCTTTCCTGTTTCTCACGTGGGACACGGGCTTGGACCACTTCCGGTTTGCGTTTGTAGTTCACGGGCTCAGAGGAGAGAGAGGAGTCGCCAGCGCGAGCTCATGGCACAGTGTTGCTTTGATTTATAGTAGATTAAGTCGAGATAATTATTATATTGGTCACATACTTTTTAAAATGAGGAATGTTGTTTGTTGGTTCAGTTATGTGAACTACAACTCCCAGCCGTGCCCTTGAATGCGTCTTCAGGGACAATGGGAACTTTTGGTGTCTTGACATGTCCGCCACCGGTACAGTTAACAAACACACACATATTGATAAAATAGTCACGGTTCACACCAGACGTATTCTGAGGGGAACAGAAAAGTGACCACTTGGTATCAGTTGACGTAGAAATCCATTTTACGACTGAGATCCGTAATTACGAGGGACGAGAAGCCCGCGGAGGCAGCACGTGCGCGTCTTAAAGGATCACGTGACCAGACGCAGCGGGCTGACGGGAAGGACTCGTTGTTACCGACTATCAGCCGCCGACCGCCGCTTTCGCCCTGAAGACGTCGGAGTAGGAAGACGAGATGTGCACCAGGTGAGGTCCATTATGCCTTCATTAAAATGCCCCGCGGCCGGGTTTTTTTAACTTTATTATTAGTAGTTTTGGTTGCAACTGTCTTTTAATGTGCGCCCGCCCTTTGTGCACGAAGAGACCCGGAGCGGGTTTTGTTTAATTTGACTATTCGCTGTGATTCAGGGTTCGGGTTGGTCATGTAATGTACCCGCCATGCTTCGTTCGTGTGATCATTCAGAGCTCAAAGTGGAACATCTAATCCTCTCCTGTTGCAACGAAGTGTGCTCGTTTCTGGATTAGGTTTCCACTAAAAGGCCTACAAAGGCTGAGGTTTCCATTTACGTCTTGCTATGCTTCCCTTGTGTGTCACGTGATGTCCGTTTCTCAAGCGTTCTAACCCCATCAGGTCTCAAAGGTCTTGCAGGTTTCCACACTTTGACCCTCTCTGTTATCATGAACGTGCATTGTTAATGCTGAGTGGATCAACATGTCTCTGTCTACTGCTGACGTTGCTCTTACAAGAGGAAGTGACTTCTGTGTGTGTGTGTGTGTGTGTGTGTGTGTGTGTTCCTCTGTGCAGCATCCAGCCTGTTGAATGGACCGCTGACCTCAAGAACCAGAAGTGAGTATGGACACAAACGCTGGTCTTCCTCTTAAGCTGCCTGAGCTGTTGGCAAGTGACTTTGTGCCTCTCAAACCAGACGCTTGTGTGAGATGATGGTGATGATGATGATGGTGTTGTCCTCTTCTCCTGCTTCTAAGCTTTGATGGCATCGTCTTGGTGACCAGGAGCCATGACACGCTGCCCTCCGACCTCGAGTGTCTGAAAGCACCGCTGCAGGACTACAGCTCTGTAAGCTTCTGTTCCTCCAGCAACTAACTACAGAAGCTCCCATTTCCTCTCCACATGAAAACAGTGGATTTTAGGATTTATTGTGACTTCCAATGAACGTTTCTTAGTAAAAGATCGACAGACCAGATGGGAGGACGAGGTTGTTTGTACTCTTTCCCTCGCAGTAGCAACCATCTTGGTATTTGATGTGTGAGCCAGGGAGCGGCGGGGTGACTGGTTCTTCCAGTGTTGCCGGCTCGTCTCACTCTCCTCGTCTCCCTCTCCCTCCAGGTGGACAGCGGTCTCGGCGAGGAGGTGGTGGTCCTGAAAGTCCCCGGTCTCCCTGGTAACCGCCTGGTGTTTGCCTCCACCGGCCCGCTGAACCGCGACTATGACGACGTCCGGCGCTTCAGCGACGCGGCGCTCAGCGGCATCAAGCGGTGGGTCCATACGAGCTGCTTTGGGGGGGTGTTCTCCTCCTTTGGGGCCTCACGTCGCTGGTGTCTCTGTCCGTCTCGCTCACCTTCCTGTCCTCTTCAGTGCCTTGAAGGCAGGCATGCAGCGCCCCCTGCTGGTCTGCCCTCCTCACAAGGACTACAAGAACAGCTCGCTGGTGGCTGCACTCGGGGCCCTTCATGCTCTCTACATGGTAAGACAACATCTCGCACTTTGCATTCAACGCGCCTCAGATTTTAAATGAAGTAGTGGTGAAGTGCAACTAGTCTTTTGCACTGCAAAGGCTGATGTGTGTCCTGTGGTTGTACCTGATTATAAGATGATACCTGTGAACCTGCTGTAGTTTAAACAACTCAAATCTCTTCCACCCAACAAAAAGCCCCTGGAAGTGAGGGAGGGGAAGGTGAAACCCGGCGACTACAAGGTGTGCGTCCTGGGTCTGTGGGCGGCGCAGGAGGCTGAGGGGCGGAGGCTGGTGGAGCTCGTCGAGGCCCTGGAGAGCGGAAGGTGGGTTGGAAAGGCTTCACCTCCCCCCGCTGCTTGGGTTTGTGGCGTTCTCTCGTTCACCACCACCCGCCGCCGTGTGCTCCCCTCCTCAGACTGGCCTGCCGGGACATCGGCGGCTCGGACCCCGAGCGCATGGCTGCTCCTCGGGTGGCGGACTACGTGCAGGAGCTCTTCAAGGACAGCCCCGTGACGGTAGCGTGATCCTCTGCTTTTACCTGTAGGCCTGGAGGAAGTCCTCTGGTGTTCTGACTCAGGCTGGTTAAAGTGCGGGTGCCTGCTTCTTGACCCCAAACCTGTAGAAACCTAAATATGTGTGTTAACCTCCAGGTGGAAGTGGTGAGCAAAGTGAAGGTCCTGGAGAAGGAGTATCCCTGTCTGGCTGCCGTCAACCGCTGTGCCGACTGTAGGAGAAGCTAAGCAGATTATTTGTTCTGAAAAGCGACGTTTGCATAGATCCTCACGCATCGCTCTCCACGCAGGTGTTCCCCGTCACCAGGCCAGAGTGATCAAGCTGCAGTACTGCGGGGAGGGGCCGGTGCAGAAGACGCTCATGTTGGTGGGAAAGGTGAGAGGAGACTCTGCTCTCAACCACTGCAGAAATATTCCCATCGTACAACAATTAAACATCACTGAACTGCAAATGATGGCTTCATCAATCTGTGGTAATGTGGAAGGAGCGAAGTTCACCGAGGTGAAAAGTAGCAATGAGAATGCAGGTTAAGCTCCAACTGCCTCCAAAGATTTGACTTAAGCCGGAGTGATTAGTGTAACTATTTGTTTATCGAGCAACGAATGCCTGCTTCATAAATGTGGTGCTTTCCAGGGCATCACCTACGACACCGGCGGAGCCGACATCAAGGCCGGAGGCTTCATGGCCGGGATGCACAGGGACAAGTGTGGAGCTGCTGCCGTGGCCGGCTTCTTTCAGGTCAGCGGCCCCCCTCACCGCGCCCCCAGCATGCATTCTGGCACTAGTTCCATGCATTTGTTAAACATTTCTAGCATTTTCTCTCAGATTTTAGCCAAACTGAAGCCAAAGCATCTGAAGGTCGTCGGCGCCATGGCCATGGTGAGGAACAGCGTCGGCGCAGGTCGGTGGGATTCCACTCCTTTTCCGTCGTGGATGTTCCGTCAGTGGGGCCTGTGTTCGATTCCCCCGTGCGTGTCTTTTCTCAGACTGCTACGTGGCCGATGAGCTGGTGGTGTCCCGGGCGGGTCGCAGGGTGAGGGTGGGGAACACCGACGCAGAGGGACGCATGGTGATGGTCGACCTGCTTTGCGAGATGAAGGAGAAGGTCGGAACATCCCGTTTTCTTAATGCTCCTTAAATGATTTGTAAATGTTGGCTGTTCTTCTGCGGTTCGGTCCTTCTCGCGCTGATCATGTGTGTCACCGCAGGCGGTACGGGAGACGTCTCCTGAGCTGTTTACTATCGCTACTCTGACTGGTCACGCCATCAGAGCCATGGGACCCGACTACTCTGTACGTACTGCTGAAATACTGCCCCTTACTGGCAGAGATCTGTATTTAAACACTACAATTACAAAGCAGGCAATGCTGGTGGAATCATTGTTTGACCGGAGTTTCTTTTTTTGTTTTATTTCTCTGTAGATCATCATGGATAACGGACCGGCCCATCGCAACCACAATGCTGCTAATTGGCAGAAAGGTGAGGAAAGTATACAGATGCTGAAGGATGACGTGATAATATTATTTCAGAGGTTGCACAGGCTGCTCTACGGCCTGTTTGACTGTAGCTGCACCGTCATTTACTAAATGCACATCATCATCAAGAAGACTTGAAACTAGTGAGTGAGAATTAATGTTAACAACGTTTACTGGGTAGTAAACAGTGTGAGAAGGCGGCTTATTTTCTCATTGACTTCAATACAATCAGACCTCTGCAAGTAGAGGAGTCGCTCCCTGATGGCTTTTAGAAAGAATGGAGGTTAAAGCACTGGATCTCAGCATTGGAGAACTGGAAGTTGCTGCATGGGACTTACTACAATTTACTGCTCAAACCTGCGGTACAATAAATACTGTAATACTGCTTCATGGTAATTAGATACTTCAGAGAGCTTTATTTCCTTCGCCACAAACTAAAACCCGATCTTTGTGCGCTGCGGTGCAGCCGGAGAGGCGTTGGGCGACGTGTTCGAGGTGTCCAGTATCAGAAGGGAGGACTACGACTTCCACAAGGGAAAGTCTGAGTACGAGGATATTCTGCAGAGCAACAACCTGCCGTCCTCGTCAACTCCTCGAGGACATCAGGCCCCCGCAGCGTTCCTCATCATGGCCGCGGGGCTGGACAAGGTGCCCACATACTGTCGCACTGCGTTAGTATTCATTTGCAAGTGTGAACTGCAGTGATTAACCTGTATGACTGTTATTGGGGACTTTCCAACACAGCACGGTGTGGATTCCAGGGCACCTCTGCCCTACTCCCACGTTGACATCGCCGGGTCGAGCGGCCCGTTCCCCGGCGTGCCAACAGGAGCCCCCATCCTCGCCATGGCAACCAACTACATCCTGTCGGACCGTCTCTAGACGGGCGCCCTCCGAGTAGACAGGCCGCGCGGTCTGCAAATTAAATTTGGAAACGTCCAAATGGAAATGAAATCCCTGCCACAACACATAATGTCAATTCTGTAAGTCTGACGTCAGATTGCTTCTCTGCAAACATGTTCTTTGATCCATTTTTTCTAAGATCTTGCGACTCATCCTGCCTGCATCCAGTGTCGGAGGATCCTGTTCTTAAGTGATCGTATATATGGTGCGATGGCAGTGTAAAATGACCATCCTTTTTTATATGCGGCAAACAGAGAACATGATTGTGTGATTAGTGATGCTGATTGTCAGTAAAACAAAACACCGCCGTGATCAATAAAACAAACATGAAAGGGCTTACTGTGTTCTTTGCGTGTACTTATTTTTGCGCAGGTTTGCATATTACAAGTGATCACGGCAGCAGAAGACAATGATCTTTTAAACATTTGTACATCGATGCCTCTATGTATCCCCACATACAACACACGTGCAGTTTTGGAATGTATTGCTTCTATGGAAGCTCATAGTTCAAACATGGCAGATTTATAAACGCATGGGTTGATGCAGAACATTTTGGGTTGGATGATCAATGCTGAGCCTTTGTGTAAAGGGGGTCATGGTATTAACAATACAAAATGCGTGACCGCTGTCTTTTAATTGTAAACAAAACATCCCTTGACGCAAAAGGACAGATGTTCCTCAATCCCCCTTTATTTACATTCATTTCATAGCTTCTCAAATAAATAAATCTATATAAATGAATTTCCCCATCGCTCTACCTGGCTCTTGTTCGGGCTGAATGTATGAAGTTAACCCGTGTGATAAAGCTCTATGTAACGGTGGTTGTGTGACACAGCGGCGCGCCGCGGCCGGGAGGCGCCGACAACGGACCCGGAAATGACGTAAAAACGCAAGAGTCAGTAAAAGCGCCGTAAGCCCGCGCTTCCAGCTCAAACCCGTCGCCGTGCCGAGAGAGTGGTGTCTGCTGCCCGCCAACAACACGAAGACTCGTCTGTCCTCCTCCACCCTGACGGAGTAACGCGCATAACAGCATCTCTTCCGCTCCACCCGCTTCCATCTCCACAGCAGCCATGTTCGAGGCTCGCCTGGTCCAGGGCTCCATCCTGAAGAAGGTGCTGGAGGCGCTGAAGGACCTGATCACGGAAGCCTGCTGGGACGTCAGCTCGTCCGGCATCTCCCTGCAGAGCATGGACTCCTCTCACGTCTCTCTGGTGCAGCTCACCTTGCGGCACGACGGCTTCGACTCGTACCGCTGCGACAGGAACCTCGCCATGGGAGTCAACCTGAGCAGGTGCGGCCAACGTTGCGTCTTTTCCCTTCCTCTTGGCGCAGGTATCCTGCGTGTGGCGCGCGCTGGTCTTGTTGCCGGCGGAGAAATGGCTGAAGCGACGTAGCTGCAGTTTGAGGGCGACTTGGCGAACTTTCGGCGCAGCTTAAATCCGCTTCTCGTTGTTTCGTTAATAAAAGAGTCTGCTTTGTCCGAGCGGTTCGTGTGCACAACGGAAGCAACGCGCGGCTAAACGCTTATTTCAGCATCTTTTGTTCGCATAAAGTGCTGATGTTTCTGTCACAAAGAGGGTGGCCATCTTGGTGGACTTGCCCGGTCATGTCTGCGCGTTCACCTCTGGACGCTCTGACGAGACGACGCGTCGGTTTTCACGCGTTTATTTCGAATAGCTGACTTTGTTTCACGTGAACTGTTCAGTGTCGTTGGTGACATTGTATTTGGCGCAGTTCGAGAGCCGACGGCCCGGCTGCGTCATGACGTAACGACGTCATTTGCGCGCCAAATGCTCTGAAGGGAATGGTTGGCGGGAATTGTTGTTCAACCCGGGAACTTCCACTTCCGGTGCTCTGCCGCCTTCCTCCGCGTCCCTTTGTACCACAACACCGGCGCTGTGGAGGGTTTAGGATCAAGTCCCGCCTTCCTTTGTGGTTTAGCGCAGTTTGTGTGCTTTTGTGCTTCTAAATGGGGCATTTACAGACTAATTCAATGTGAATTAGTTCTGAAAAAACTCTTCTTTGAATGTGAAATATTCATTTTTAAGTTGCCTTTCTAAGTGCAGTACAACACCTTCAAATATAATGAATATTTTAACTAAATGGTTTAAAAGAACAAACTTTCAATCAATGATGAAATCAATCAATGATAAGTTGGTGCAAATAAGATCCATCTTTAAAATAATGCACTGCTTTTCTTTCGAGAGATTTGACTTCTTTTTTTCCCCCTTGTCTCTCAGTATGTCCAAAATCCTGAAGTGTGCAGGAAACGAAGACATCATCACCCTCCGAGCAGAAGACAATGCGGACACGCTCGCCCTGGTGTTTGAGACACTCAGTAAGTTTTAGGGATATGGACAGTGATCACATCATCATGGCCGACACTTGGCTTTGTTTCTCCAGGAAGTTTTTCTTAATTTGCCTCTTTTCAAACCTCACAGACCAGGAGAAAGTGTCAGATTACGAGATGAAGTTGATGGACCTGGATGTGGAGCAGCTCGGTATCCCAGTAAGTCATTTTCTGTCCTGTAATGGTCTCTTTTTAAATAGCGCCGCCACACACACCATCCCTGACCGTTCTCTCCCGCCGTCCGTCCCTCTAGGAGCAGGAGTACAGCTGCGTGGTGAAGATGCCCTCCGGGGAGTTTGCCCGTATCTGCCGTGACCTGTCCCAGATTGGCGACGCCGTCATGATCTCCTGCGCCAAGGACGGAGTCAAGTTCTCCGCCTCCGGAGAGCTCGGCACCGGAAACGTCAAGCTGTCCCAGACCAGCAACGTGGACAAAGAGGACGAGGCGGTGAGTGGAGGCGCCGGGATGAAAGCCGGACAAAAAATATGACTCGTCCTAATGTCAGCTCATCTTTTCATAGATTATTACTTGACAAAAAGACCATTTACTTAAAGTATTACTGCTTTTGTGTGAATTGACTGCAACATTGTCTCCGTCTTCAGGTCACCATTGAGATGAACGAGCCCGTCCAGCTGATCTTTGCCCTCAACTACTTGAACTTCTTCACCAAGGCGACGCCGCTGTCCAAGACGGTGACCCTCAGCATGTCGGCCGACATCCCCCTCGGTGAGTGCGTCCGTCCCGCTTCAGCAAACGGGAAACGCCTTTGTGTGGATTTAGTTCATCGAAACCGCCACTGCCGCTTTAATATAATACATTTGTTTTGTCTTTCTTCAGTGGTGGAGTACAAGATCGCTGATATGGGACACGTGAAATACTACCTGGCACCCAAGATCGACGAAGAAGCATCTTAGGTGGTTGGTCGGCGTCTCGATGCGGGAGGAAAGCAGGCGGCTGGGACTGCGGCGGCCTCACGGTGGCCGGCGACCAATCGGTTTCTCATTTCCCGTCGAAGATTCCCAGCAGGAGGTTTTACATACTGTCAACCAGACGACAAATGCCGTCTTTATGGCGAAGCCTCGGCCCTCGGACTCTTTCCTGTTCGACGCGACGTGGCTGTGAGGCTCCGGCTGCCCCGATGTCAATTCCTGCTCTCTCTGTTTTGGGAAAGCTAAAGTCAACGGTCCCATTGTGTTTTGTAGATAACATATTTGTAAATACTTCCTGTGGTTTCGCACTCTCAGCCAACCCCGAATGTTTTTGTATTCATTGATTCAGTCCAAAATAAACGATTCCACTTGTTTCCACAATTCTTTTTTTGAATGTCAATCTTTAGTGGACGAATGTTTTGAACTGATGCACTTCGTTCACCAGAAGTCCAAATTTAAAGATTTTATTTTCCAACCATCTATTAAGAAAATTACTTTGATCACTAGATGCCTCCTTTCAGATACAACTTTCCCTTTTCCTTGACTTTGCACAATCTGTATTTGTACAAATCATTTTGGTATTTATTGCCGCTTCGATAACTAAGGATGACGTCTCCATACAATCCCGGTCAATATGCAATAGTCCCTTTTCTAATGGTACTCAAGCATTTTCTTGGCTCTTTATTGCCAGACGCAGTCGTTTAAATGAGACAAGTTGTACCAACCGCTGGCACAAAAGTAATCGCCAATCATCTGAGAAATGAACTAGAAGCTGTTCACTGCGGTTTAGTGAAAACTACTCAACCTCTTGAATTAACATTGAAGTAGGAAGTGACCCTACGATGTAAATTGAAGTTCAGTGTGCTGCAGTGAGCCGGTGTAGACACCAGGTGGGGCCCTTTTAGCTTTAATCTTCCCTCCGAATGAAGAATTAAAGTCGTCCTGTCAAGTAACGTGTGATGTCATTTATCCAGAAAATATCGACCCTAATTTACATCTCCAGTAGTCAGTTTCCCCCCCGGCAGAGACACACAGTGTAATCAATCGCCGGTCGGGATTGATTGGATGACCGGAAAGCGCCTGTCTGTTGAATCAGACTGATGATCTTGATGCCAACATGACAGATGTCCAGTTATTCGTTGGGTCAGAAGTCCCCAGAGCCCCAGGTGTGTTTCCATGCAGGTCAGTGAGCTTAAATATTCAGAGGATTCACCGAACGTGCAGCCGAGGATACCTGAGACACACGACTCCGTCTGCAGACCGCTTTAATCCACACAGAGCTGTAATCTGATGGCCACATCTGCCCCCAGTCCGAGCGTCTCTGCTGCTGCTGATGAGTGTTTGTGATGAGATGATGTGACGGGGACGGAAAGAAACCAGCACATGTCTACTTTTCATACCTAGATGTTTTTATTTGTCTGGTCTGGAGGAAAATAGCGGCACACATCGTGCTGATGCTGATCTCTTACCTCTTATCTTTCAGTTTCGCAGAAACATCTGGCCAGGCTTTGTCCTTACTTGCCTACCAACTAACGTTATTTCTCTTTCGTGTAACTTCAAAACCCGGATTCAATGTGTTTTACGAGAGATTGTGCTCTAGTTGCCAGGCAACCAACCACTGGATAATATAACACAAGCTACTGGTTAAAGAGAATAAACACACAACCTTGTGAACATTAGTGGTGTGGGGGACGTTTGGAGTATTTGGTGACCTTTGGACCTGGTGCGCTGTGTCCTTTAAGTTTATCCACTTCCAGCTCGCATGGACAAATGACTGTTATCCATCTTTTTATCTTAATAGTGTTAGCTTAAATAGCTACTTAGCCAATTTAACTTTTGACAAGAAAGTATTAAACTATTGACTCTTGCGTCACTTTATCGGTTCATCTTTCCTCTGTCATTTCTTTCTCCCCATTAATCCTTTAAGGAGGCCTTTTCTCATTTTCCAGGCCGTCGCTGTAAAATCAGATTCTTATCTGATCTCAACGTGCTGCTTGAATGAAGACCAGAGAGGAGCAGACGGGCAGATCATAACTCCTCAGTGCGCCATCGTAATGCCACACTCTGGAATATCAGAACTCATCTGCAGAGAGGGGCTGAGCTCCTCCGCCAGCACGAAAAGAGGATTTCTTTCATTTTGCGCATTTATTTTTGGCAAATTCATTTGATAAATGTGAGTTGTCCACATCCGCGCTGCACGGAAACCGTTCTTGTAAACTCCCGAGGGAAGCTGTAGTTTCTCAAACACAATGTACAGCAGCAGCGGATTTGCCTGATGAGGGCCGCTGTGTTCCGGACATCTAAGTGACCGACAAAGTGAAGCGACAGCGCGGCCGTTTAAGCTGACTCAGCATTTAATTAGCTGCTGCCACCCAGGTTCATATTAATTACTTCCTTTAAGAGAGCGAAGAGGGTTCAACCTGAGTGGGGTTTTCCCATTTCTGAATCCTAATGCCTCATGCAAGCGGCCATCATCAGACTTTGTCTCAGTCTGAATCCTTTTTTAGTTTCTGCAGGATTTCAAGGGCAGCCAAATGATGTCGTTACCCGAGAGAAAAGACGGGCACTAAAGCTCGCTAGAAGGTCGATTTTTTTTTATCAATATGAGGAAAATAAGGTTCCCCTAAACTACTTACACGTGTCTAAGGGAAATGTCACAAAGGAGTGCTTTAAAATGTTTACAAAGTGCAGTTTCTTGGCTCGTTTTATCGGGCCGGTGGTCGATGAGTCGTATGAGTGATAAAAGTACAGCAGCACAAAGTTACGCAAGAAGTCACCTGCACTCGCATCAGCATCCACATTGCCTGGTGTCTGATGTGCTTTAAGATGAAATAAGGTTTCTTTTCAGCTGAGTTTGAGACTTTCTTTGATAAACTAAGAGAAAACATCATGACAGGCTCAAGATTATTATTAATCTAAATGTAGTTCTTCAATGTTGCCTTTTCTTCCAAGTTACCATTTGCATGGATGTAGCCTGTTGTATTCAATGAACCCAATGTCCTCTCTCTCCCTGTATGGCCTTTAAATTGCTTTCCGGAGGTTGGGGATTTGGGCCGTGGAGATAAGGGGAGCAGGATGAGAGTCTCTCTCTCTCCCGCGGTCCATTTACTGAGAGGGCAGGTTGTCTCTCTCTCGTGTGCTGCTCCCGTCGGCCCAGCAAACGTCTTCCCGTTTCCAAAGCACAAAACCAACCGCGCGCACAGTGGACACAGTGGACACAGTGGACACGGTGGACACGGTGTACTCGGTGGACACGGTGGACTCGGTGGACACAGTGGACTCAGTGGACACGGTGGACTCGGTGGACACAGTGGACTCAGTGGACACAGTGGACACGGTGGACACGGTGGACACGGTGGACTCAGTGGACACGGTGGACTCGGTGGACACAGTGGACTCAGTGGACACGGTGTACTCGGTGGACACGGTGGACTCGGTGGACACGGTGGACACGGTGGACACGGTGGACTCGGTGGACACAGTGGACTCAGTGGACACGGTGGACACGGTGGACACAGTGGACACAGTGGACTCAGTGGACACGGTGGACTCAGTGGACACAGTGGACACGGTGGACACAGTGGACACGGTGGACTCGGTGGACACGGTGGACTCAGTGGACACAGTGGACTCAGTGGACACGGTGTACTCGGTGGACACGGTGGACTCGGTGGACACGGTGGACTCGGTGGACACAGTGGACTCAGTGGACACGGTGGACACGGTGGACACAGTGGACACAGTGGACTCAGTGGACACGGTGGACTCAGTGGACACAGTGGACACGGTGGACACAGTGGACACGGTGGACACGGTGGACACAGTGGACACGGTGGACTCGGTGGACACGGTGGACTCAGTGGACACAGTGGACTCAGTGGACACGGTGTACTCGGTGGACACGGTGGACACGGTGGACACGGTGGACTCGGTGGACACAGTGGACTCAGTGGACACGGTGGACACGGTGGACACAGTGGACACAGTGGACTCAGTGGACACGGTGGACTCAGTGGACTCAGTGGACACGGTGGACTCAGTGGACACAGTGGACACGGTGGACACAGTGGACACGGTGGACTCGGTGGACACAGTGGACACGGTGGACACAGTGGACTCAGTGGACACGGTGGACACGGTGGACACAGTGGACACAGTGGACTCAGTGGACACGGTGGACTCAGTGGACACGGTGGACACGGTGGACACAGTGGACACGGTGGACTCGGTGGACACGGTGGACTCAGTGGACACAGTGGACTCGGTGGACACGGTGTACTCGGTGGACACGGTGGACACGGTGGACTCGGTGGACACAGTGGACTCAGTGGACACGGTGGACACGGTGGACTCAGTGGACACAGTGGACTCAGTGGACACGGTGGACTCAGTGGACACAGTGGACACAGTGGACTCAGTGGACACGGTGGACTCAGTGGACACAGTGGACACGGTGGACACAGTGGACACGGTGGACTCGGTGGACACGGTGTACTCAGTGGACACAGTGGACACGGTGGACTCGGTGGACACGGTGGACACGGTGGACTCGGTGGACTCGCCTCCCTGGAGGCTTTTTCCTTCCTCGCCGTCAGTCAGTGAGGTCCTGGAGGATCCCTGACCCGACCCCCCCGGGCCTGACACTCTCCCCCGAGCCCCCGAGCGCTGTGATGTCTCTCCACGAGAGCCTGTCGCGTGGATTATTGATGGCGGACCCTCACATGGCGAAGGACCCACTACAGGCAACGCGTGGGACATTCCCTGTTTGGTTTAGTAGTGTCCTGAGGTAGAGGCAGCTGGAGGTGTGTGTTGTTACGAGGATTCAATTTCTATCACCACACGGCACTGAACTTTTATGCGAACAACGGCGATGCCCTCCTAATCCACTTCGTACTGCACCTAGTCATCCTCCTCCTCCTCCTCCTCCACCTCCTCCTCCACATCCTCGTCCTACTCCACCTCCACCTCCTCCTCCACCTCATCATCCTCCTCCTCCTCCTCCTCCTCCTCCTCCTCCACCTCCTCCTCCTCCTCCACCTCCTTCTCCTTCTCCCTCTCTTCCTCCTTCTCCTCCTCCTCCTCCTCCTTCTCCTCCTCCTCCTCCTCCTCCTCCTCCTTCTCCTTCTCCACCTCCACCTCCTCCTTCTCCTTCTCCCTCTCTTCCACCTCCTCCTCCTCCACCTTCTCCTCCTCCCGGAGCTGTGATGTCGTGCAGCGTGCCTACACAGGAGACACCCGTGTATTTCTGACAGTGCTGCGGGTGCTGCAGTCCTCCCCCGTGAATCAGCATACTAATGGGATGTCCTCCTCGTCTGTCTGTCAATCACATGTCACAGCAGCGAGGGAGGGCGACAGGGCCTCCTGCGGTTGGGGTGTGTGTG